AATTTAACTATACTTTTTTATATTTGAAAAGTTTTTATGACTATTTTAATATTACATTGGTTTTTTTAATGACAATACTATATTTTTTTTAATGTGATTCAACATATATGAAATTTAATTATTTGTTTTTTTGAGATACATGAATATCTTTTATTTTTTAAATATAATTTTTAAATTATTAAAAATTATTCAAAATTGATGTATTGTGATCCCATCTCCTCTAACTTTTTCTTACTATTTTTCATTTGCTCTATGTCGCTCTTGATTCTTCTATTTAAAATAGGGTGCAGTTTGTATAGAGCCTAGGCTCTAAACAATCAAATTAGACCCTACCTTCAAATAGTGTCGAGAAATATGGTTACAATACTGGAAATCTTTGTGATAGCCTTAAAATATATTTTCATCTTTATTTATAAAGGTTAAAGCTTCAAAATTAGTGTAGATCGACATATCTATGAAAACTTGAAAATCTTGAAAATTGACGGTCCAAAAATGTGATACAAAATACACTATTTTCAAAACTTGGAATTCATTTTTTCTCATGTCCATGCATCTTGATGTCAAGATGATTAAATTGAGAATATTTGGACATCAAAACAACGCTCTAGTTAAATTTTTTATGTAGGCACTTATTTGATTGTTTAGACCTCGGATCCATATAAACTTTTCCTTTTAAAATAACATTGAAAATCTTTTGGTTGTATTTAGTCAACAGATATTATATTTTAATTATTTCATCTGTTCATGCTTTTTAAATAAATTTTATACTTCTTAAGTTAATGCAATAGAAAAAATGCAATTCATTGAAAATGGCCATCCCTCATTAATAAACATGCATTTTTTATTAAGCATAATTTATTTTTCTCACATGCAAGTCTTTTATCCCATGTGTAACAAAAAGCTCCAACCCAATAAAAAATGTACATATTTTTATTTATAATAATTTATCCCTCTCACTCAAGTTACTATTTTCTGTATATTTTTAATGATAAACATGTGGGTTAAGGAAATAAATATGTGTTAATCTCCCCATTCACCCCTAAATCTCTCACTCTCTCTTTCTTTTCTTATCTCTGGCAGTCTCTTTTTCCTTAAATCCCCTCTCCTTATTCTTCATCAATATATATAAATTCTTATTACTGTTTTGTTTATAATAAGGTTATGCTTCTTGAGTATGCCGTAAGGAACTAATATATTAGATATAGATATTAATAGGATCTAATGTCTTAAACTAATATATTGGATATTAGCATTAGTAAGATCCTACATAAATTTATTTATTAATTTTATTTATTTAATTTAAATTATTTATTTAAGTCATCTTTATTATTTTAATTGTATGCTAAATGGATCCGTTTTAATTAATAATATATTAAAAATAATTTTTACTATCAAATTTATTATTAATTAATAAATTGTTCAATTTTGAAGATAAATGCATCAAATTCTCTCTCTAACATACCATGTTTTATTGAAATTTTTTCAATAATAAATATATTTCAGTAATTAATATTAAATATCACATGCAACGTATGTGCATATTACTAGTTATTTTTAA